AAGAAAAATATGTCATTGAATATGTTATTAAGCATAGAAATATGTCATTGAATATATCATTAACTATTTGAGAAGATCATGAAGAAAGAGTAGACATCCACCATAATTTGATTTTTCTTATAACACGTATTAAGTTGTTTAGTTTAAAAAACGTGGAGTAACTATTACTATTGAAAGTGCAGAGTGCGCACTAAAGACCTAAATTACGAAATTGCCTTTCTTGTGTTTCTTGTTATTTTCTTCTTCTGTATTTTCCCAATATGCTTACATTTATTTCGGGTGTCCTTCCTAGTTTGATTTAATTAAGTTAATGATTTCTTTTATTCTATTTTTGAGATTCACTAAATCTACATTTGACCGGGTTTTCTAGAGAGAAAACTACCCTTTATAGCCTTTCAAAATTTTAATAGCCCATGTTTTTTTTTACGGATACGAAATGCCCTTTCGGCCCAAACATATTACATCTAACAGTCCGAAATGTCTATTTTGTATATTTTTTGCATAGTGACAGTCTATTTTGTATATATTCTATATAGTGACAGTCTATTGTATATAAATTGCATAGTGACAGTCTATTTTAGTATATATTTTGTATAGTGACAGTCTATTTTATATATATTTTGTATAGTGACAATCTATTGTATATAAATTGTATAGTGACAGTCTATTTAGTATATTTTTATATAGTGACAGTCTATTTTGTATATATTTTGTATAGTGACAATCTATTGTATATAAATTGTATAGTGACAGTCTATTTAGTATATTTTTATATAGTGACAGTCTATTTTGTATATATTCTGTATAGTGACAATGTATTGTATATAAATTGTATAGTAACATTCTATTTTAGTATATTTTTTGTGTAGTGTCGACTCGGCGATGCAAGGTGAGTTTTGAACAAAACCTCCGATTCATTAGAAGAAGCTTAGTTACGACTCGCCGATATTAAAGAAGCTCAGCTACGACTCGCCGATATTAAAGAAGCTCAGTTACGACTCGCCGATATTAAAGAAGCCGCCGGCATACCGGAATAGAGCAACGACAACATAGTTGAAGTACCCAAACGCCCCAAAGGCGGGAAAGTATGGTGCGAATTGATGTTCTCACCAATGCTGGTCGTCCGTCACATACTACTCACCGGCGTCAGAATTCATTTTTTTAAGCAAGCAAGTGGAATCGACGTTGTCGTTTTGCATAGTCCGACAATTTTTGGAAAAGCAGGTATTAAATCCGATCACGACAAGTTGCTCGCCACCGTAGTTGTCGGATTCGTCAAAACAATTTTCATCCTCGTAGCCACATTCATGCTCGACAAATCCGGCCGGCGGCCGTTACTGTTAACCAGTATCGCCGATTTAGGTTTTACAATAATATTTGTTAGGCTAACCATTATAATTTGTTTGGGGCTATAAATTGTATGGATAAATTCATGGCTAGCGAATGATAATAGTTTCCACCGGCCGACTACAAATGATATTTGCTCTTTTCTAGATGCATCTTTTTCAAATTTACATACAGAAATCTGGTGAGGTTTGATGTCTCTTTGACAAATAATGTTGTCTTCAAATAGTACATAATTTGTGTCCTATCTTCAAATTGTAGGAAAATCTATCAATCAAAGTATATATCTGAGACAGATATAGAACTGATTCTTATTAGATTACTTTGAAAATTATTTTTGCCATTCAAATTTTCACTAAGTTGGATTGGAGAATTACAGACTTTGTGGTTTTACAGGTATAAAAGAAATAAATAGTGACAATCACAGAAGAAAATAGAATGGAAAGAACAAAAACACAAATGCTACGAAAAAAATCCAAAATTTCCAAGTTCCATTAACAACAACAACAACAACAATCCAGTATAATTTCACTAGTGGGGTCAGGAGAGGGTAGTGTGTACACAGACCTTACCCCTACCCTGGGATAGAGAGGTTGTTTCCGATAGACCCTCGGCTCCCTCCCTCCAAGAACTCCCCACCTTACTCTTGGGGTGACTCAAACTCACAACCTCTTGGTTGGAAGTGGAGGATGCTCACCACTAGAGCAACCCATTTTTGTCCTAAAGTTCCATTAACAGTGGAATTAAATTCACATGTATTTGGGCATAATGTACAAATAACACCTTTAATTTAAGTTCCTTTCATTTAGCCAAAAAAATAAAGTGTAAATGGCATGGGTATGACAACCCATAAAGAGAATTGCACATTTTTAGCCTTGTATTAAATTTGGCAAAGGCAGCCTAAAAGATTGATATTATATAACCAAATTCGAAAAAAACCCTAATTTCTTATTTATTCTCTCTCCCAGTGTTTCTCTCTCTAATATTTCTTCTTCAATTTCTTCTACAATCTTTTTATCTTTTCTTTCCCCGCATTTCAATAGTTTTTACTTGGGCCCTTTTAATATTGCATGTGAGAATTACTTTTGATAGAATTATAAGGTCTTGAAGTAAAAGAAAAAAATAGAATTATAAAGTTTCCTTACAAAACTTGGTTTGCATCTCAAACGAAGTTAGAGTAAGAATTTTTGGGGGTTTCTTTTGTGTTATTTCAATTCCAACGATATGGCTGAAGTCTGCCGCATGTCACAAAAGTTTCTCGCACTGATTATTATGAGAATCCAATATTGCGATTGTCAGATCATATTTTTCATTCGATATTTACATATCTTAGATGTATATTCTGGTACAAATGAATTTCCCCCTTCTTCTCTTTCTTTTTCAAGCCGTGGATTCCAATTTTCTTCTCC